TGAAGTCACAGACAAGCATATCAACATGGATAGAGTTTAGACAAAACATTTTAACACACTTGTTTTCCTATACACAAAGACCTGTGAAAAGAATGTTAAATAAAATTTAACTCCTTGCATGTTTTCAGTTAGCACCCAGTTCCAGTGTACTTATTTTTATAATAATAATAACTTTAATTTATATAGCGCCTTTCATCAACCCAAGGTCGCTTAACAAAGAAACATATAAGGACAAGACATAAATCGTGTGCTGTGTCTCAATCTAATTATTCCGTTAGTAGCTAACATTCCATGTTATACTCTGAATATGTTTACAATATGTCTACTTAATTCCATGGTGCCTGAATTTGACAAATTAAACACGGCTGTTGTGCACTTACTTTAAAGGTCCCATGTCATGCTTTTCCGGTTATTACCCGTCCCCTTGTGTGTTATGTAGCTTTTTATGCATGTAAACCGTCTGCAGAGTCAAAAACCCTCAAAGTACACCCTGTAGCGAGTAAAACTCTAACACAGAAAAGACCTGTCTGTGCTGCCCCAGAACGCCTCGTTGGAGATTTTTCTTTTTCCATTTTTTTCTTCCTGAGTATAGTGACGTAACCATGCCCAGGTCCAAATGGACCAATCCGTGGAGCTCCTCACACACACACACTCACTCAGCCTTATCGTTTCTCAGCTGCGGCTCCGCGGATTTCTCAGCCTGAACTCAGCCTGAGCACACACACACACTCACATCCAGGCTACGAGTGTGTGTGTGTGTGTGCTCAGGCTGAGTTCAGGTGAGTTTCGCAATGTCTCGCTGTCTCGCAGACCCCACACAGTAACCAGGAAACGACCCCAGTAATCCAGCTCACACTGTCCGCAGCAGCGAGCTCCCGCAACGTCCTGCACCAGCGAGCCCCCGCAACATCCCGCACCCAGACCCCACGCAGCATTCTCATCTGTTTGTCATTACTGGTGTCATTTTCTGGTTGCTAACAAACGCCATTGTAACACATAATCACTGATGTTCCGCTGTAACGCTGGTGAACTCATCAGAACAGAGTGGGCGAGCTGACCAATCAGAGCACAGTGGGCTCATAGGGAGGGGGGGGGCAGGAGCTCCAACAAGCCGTTTAGGACAGAGAGTGAATACACATCCTATACAGAGATGCTGTATGAGAAACCAATGTGAGTTTGGAAAATTGAACAATGTAAATCTATTATAGTAGACCTCAACAATGGAATTATGATCAGTAGAAATGGCCATGTCATGGGACCTTTAACATTTCTATAGCCACAGTAAGCATAAGCGTCATCTTTCACAGTACCAAATCATTACAGACAAATAGAAAACATTCTGATAGCATCTATTCAACAACGAAATGGTAGTACTAGGTGAAAAACATACACCTGACTATCTTACATTTGTATAGTTTGGTGTTCACTGGAAAAACAGCAACTATGCTAGTACTGGATTTGTAAAACTTAACAACAAGGCAAAGGGACTCACCGTCCAACATGCTGGCATAACCTTAACCATTGAGCTACAGTGTTAAACATTTAGACTGACTATCTAGCCGACAACCTAACCTGGACTTAAACAGTGGAGGTCAATGCCTAACCTTACATTTCTTGAAAGTTACCATAGACACAACTAGCAACCACTGCTATTCCCTCCCTATCTGCTACCTAGCCACTCAGCTATTGACTGTAGAACGTTTTCAGCTTTCCATACTATCAGGGTACTAGTAACACACTTGATTATTAATATATACTGTGCTTTTCAGTACTCAAATAGTGCAAGTAGCTTACTGAAGAACACAGAATTGAGACACAGCTTTAGTATTTTATTTATGTCTGATATCTCATCAGATGTGATGAGACAAAGGAAACATTTTTGAAAATGTAACAAGAAATTCAGCAACCTTTCTGTTTATTTTGGTATCAGAAAACAATGATGGCTGCAGTTCACAGATACATTGCGCCGGTGTTTGTTGGTAAGAATGGAATACAGTGAGCACTGCCAAGGTATTATTATGTGTGAGTGTGTGTGTCCTTGGATATACAATGTCCAGACTGGGAACAATAAATTGTTGAGGCAACAGGGTACAAAGCAGATCGAAAAGCATTCATTGTTTGGTTCTTATTGAATGCAATTGTCTTAATAAGTCTGTTTCTGCTTGCAGAATTGTCTGTGTGTAGATGTCTTGGAAGTCCTTATAATAACTGTTTCAAAGACAGTGGGTTAAGAAGCAGGTTTAGGGCATTATGTGCATTGTGTAGAAAAGATGGAACAAAAGCCAAATCTATAATATCTTCTATTGACACATGCCTTGAATTAAAGTAAGAGAGGAAACCGCAGGGCCTAGGTTTAAAGCAATAACTTTACATTTTGTACTATTGTGATTATTTGCTGATTGACCGAGTTAGATGAGAAGATACGATACCACTCTCATGTATGACCTTTTCAATATGAAGCTAGAGCCATCAATGGGTTAGCTTAACATTGCACACAAAGACTGGAAATAGGAGGAAACAGCTGTTCAGGCTCTGTCCAAAAGATAACAAAAACCTACCTCACTCCACCTTTAAGGCTCATAAACTAACACATTATGATGTCTTTGTTTATTCCACACAGAATTTAGCAATTTAACACAAGATTTTAAAGCTTTTGTATAGACTGAACAAACACGATACAACTTGGTAATGTTACAATGTGTAAACAAGTCTGTGGCACATGATTCATTTATTTAGATATCTCTGGAGGGGCAATTTCAAGACAAGGTTAGAGTTTTGAAAGTACTTTTGGCAAAACAACGGCAAAGAGTATGGAAGCAAAATAATGCAACTGTGGTGCTTTTTGATCATGGTGTTATGGTACAACTGCCACCTTCTTGTACTGTAAATGCCAAAGAGACTGGTGTGTTGCGCATCTTTCTTTTTCTTAGGCCTCTGTTAAAATCCAAAAAATGTAGTGTGGTTCTAGTTTATGTTCATCGCTCACTTTTGACCCTTTTCAAGAAGTGAGGCAAAAAGCTTTGATGTCATTTATTTCAGTTTGAAACCCTATGCATTTAAAGTTTATGTTTTTTAGGTTGAATTCTGAATTAATATTTTACACATTGCTGCTTTGATTATTTTATTAATGTTAAACATAAATGAGTTAGTTGGTAAATACCATTAGTTATAATATTGGGACATTTGGTAAGACAGCAGGCCTATATGAAATGTAGCTCAACTTTTGAAAGAAACTTTATAAGCAAGAACTTTTACTGGCATCATTAAGTTATTTGATGATACTGTTGTCTCCTTTAGTACAAAATGCCATTGAGAGCGCTGATGTTTCAGTGGGTCGAATAATAACTCTAACCTTTTTATCAATATCAATATTTTTGGCTAGGCTAACAGCTTCTCCTGCTTTCAGATGTATGCTAAGCTAACACAAAAGGAGCTATGCCTCTGACACGCAAACATAGTGGTTAAACAGCAAAAAACAAATTTCCCCAAAATGCATTTTTTATGTTTTCTTGATTTGATGGTAATACTTAGGAAATAGGAATCTCAAATGTTCTCTAATTTGTGCAATATTCTGTTTGCCAGCATCAAAACATGAGTCACTGAAAACAATTACTGAAAGATTGGCTACATCATGAATAATACATTCCTGAATGCTGATTAGTTATTTACTGCAAATGTTTGAATAATTACCTTTGTGCCTTAGGGTAAGTCAAAAGCGCTGACATCTGTACAAGCTTTGCACATCTCTCCCTTTGGGTGTGAGCCATAACACAAAATCACTGAATATGTATGAAATTATGCTTTAAATGTTTACTGAAATATCATTTATTAAAATGTCCTGTTTCAGTTAAATCTGGGCTATTTTGTCGACATACTCGTTGAAAATCACGACAATCTTTATCTCTTGCTTTGTATGAGCAATGCCTCCAAGAAGAGCTTTCTGGAACAAAATTGAACTGTAACTTTTAACATTCACTCACAATAGTAAGCTTTTTATTTGTATACGAACATTAAATTCAGTTTTTTATACATTTGCCTGCAATTCAATTTATTTACATTTAAGTTCTGCCCTTAAATAATTCTGAAGATTATTGTATGCTTAGATTAGTAAAACATTTCTCTGCACAACACTACATTTAATATCGTGGAAAAAAATGCATTGAGATGATAAAGGTTCACATAAATACTGCTGAGGAGAGATATTAAGCTTTCTGATTAATGCTCATCATTTGGAATTATTGTTTTAATATTGTCTGCTTATCTGTATTATTGTGTTGCATTGTTGGAGAAGCCTGTGACCTAAGCTTTTCAACGACATAATTACTCTGTAGCTATGTTAGTTTGACAATAAAGAACCTTGAACCTTGAACCTATTTCCAGAGAGAAAGCTTCATTTCAGGCCTCTTTACAACAAATGCAGCACAACTCTGCGTTTCATCTGAAATTAACCTCTGACATTGGGATTGACTACAATACACAATGTTGTCAGTTTCCTAGATAAATACAGCCCCTCATATGTTCCCACCAAAGGGACTCTTTTTGTAAAATTGTACTGCTTTTCTGCACCATTGTCCCCTCTCTCTCTTATGACTCCAAACAACAAGTATCTTTTTCTGACATGCTGCCCTTTCGCCCACATATAATTACAACACATCTGTTTCTATGACCCATTGAGGGCTTGAACTTCCTGTACTGATGGGAAAACACACATACTGTAAATAAACATAAGCACACTACTGAGACCCTGAACTCACACAAACTATAATAATTGAAATCTCAAAAATACATTCACATATGTCTCTCAGTTGAGGAACTCAAACAGCTGCTAGCATGTATACTTTAGTTTGTGTATTTTCATACTATATATAAAGAATACTTTTGTTATTTGTGAGAACCACAGTTTCGGAACAAATAGCAGCTCTTTACATGCAGTAATATATGGTAATCTAGTGTAAAGATGTCCAATAACTGTATTATTCTTGTTCTTGTTTATCTTTTAGAAACATGTGGAGGACTCTAACACTATCACTGGTTGTTGCATTGGCATTGGGCACAGAGGTGAGTGCAACAATGTGTTTCATTGATGGATTGCATTGTACTGTATATCTACACACCATCATTTTTGTGATATGGATTGTCTATGTTGTTATTTGATAATGTTGTCTAATCCGAGAGGTTTGTTTCACTTTTTTCCCCCTTCAATTGTGGGTTGTTTAAGGGAGTTTTTCTGTGTGCTCAAAGGGTCTCAGGACTCAGTATGTATGCTATACAGTCTGTTCAGCCCCCATTTTTTATATTGGGCTACATAAATAGGTTGATTGGCCTTCACCTGCAAAATGTCGCTTGAAGAGTAATGTATCACCCAGAAAGGGACAACAAAATTACCACAAAGGTACTAAAAGTGGTTTCAAAGAAGTGCAAAACAGCTGCAATGAGACACAACGACACTCACAGCTACTATGAGAAGGGGCAAAAACAACCACACAAATACCCAAAGCAACTTCAAAGAGACACAAATCAACTACACAGAGACACAAGATGGGTAAAAACGAAATACCATAGTGTCTCTTGCTCCAATAGGAGAGCTGGCGGGACCTTTCGCATGTCTGCTACCCATTGTCTCATAATCTGCCAATGACTGTCTGTGTGTAATAAGAAATATTATGTTTATCATTCCTAAATCTCTTATGTCAATGTGACATTCAATGTGTGATTGTTTTCCCAGGTGTCCCAGTCTGAGGATGTGGCGACCATCGTGAATGGTTCGGAGGTGCAGCAGGACAAATTCAGCGACATTTCCACCGTACTGGGAAATTCCCGACATCAGATCCTGGCTGCTCAGTTCGAGTGCTACCTGAAGATAATCCATGACCCACCACGCACAGAAGAAGGTACCTATTGTTCTGATAAATCACAGTGCAGCTGATAACAGCCGTCCGAATGGAAGGAAGATCTTTTGGTATCAACACATTTTTTCTTCTGGCGGATGGCAGATAAATGTTGATGACAATATTTTGCATCCGAGTTGCAGGACATCCTTTTATTCATTGTGCTTAGATCGCCTTGCCATTTATCCCATGGGCTCATATTCTGGCACCATTTTCGTGCTTGGATCGACAAAAATGTGGATACAATGGAGAAAATAACATTCTTTAGAAAGAAACATTTTCTCAGAAAAATGATTAAGTCTACAGTAAATTACAGTTTACCATTATCAGCAATATGCTAGAAATCTATGAATTGTGGTCGGTTCAGCACTTTGGACCAGACTTAAATATCTCAATAATGTTGGATTGACTGTCATTAAAATGTTAAAACAGACAGTCATAGTCCTCAGAGGATGAATCCTACTGACTTTGGTAATGACCTGATATTGGTGGATTCTCAAAAAATCTGGTAGATCCATTTATGTTCTCCTCATGATACATTTGAATGACTTTGGTCATCTCTACGTTTTCATATAGTGCCATTGTCAGGTCAGAATGTTTTTATGTCCAATCCTTTGACTTTGGTTTACTTGCAAAACTATTGACATTCCTATCAGCCCTATATGTGATTGTGCTAATTAGCAAATGTTAGCTTGCTTATATGCTAAACAAAGATGGTGAACATTATTGGTGCAGTAATGAGTCCTAAAATATCCAGAAAAGACTTAGCATTTCACCAGATCCAGTTCCCTCATCTCGAAGTCAATGTTTTTTTGTGTTTAGAAGCTGAAATAAGGTAGTTAACACGAGCTGAAGAGATTGGCCCGTTGGTTCTACGACATAAAATACGCCAGCAGGAAAATCCACTCGTGAATGTCCAAAGCTTCTATGTGTCAAAAAAACAGCCGTTGCTAACGAGTAACCAAATAAACTACTAAACGCCATCATCCCAACACAAGTTCACTTTTAATTTAGCGGTGGTTATACGCAGCCATGCTACCAGGTCATTTATAGCCTAGCGTTAGCTTTTTGTTTCTGCTAATTGCATTTAGGCTTAAAAAATCACAGAGTGCTGTCAAAGTGTGGAGATTACCCTGCCAAACAAAATGTGTTAAGTATCATAAACATGTGGTAATTATCCGTAATACCAAAATCCAGTAGAGAAATCACATAGCTTTTATCGTGGGACCGCCAGCGAGGCTGGCCTACAAAACACGTCCTCACTGCACCACTCAATGCCTGCTAAACATTATCATGATAGCATATTAACATTTAGCTGTCACTATATCATCTTTTAAATGATTTTGATGCTCTTAGTCATTGTTGTCAAAAAGAAATGAGAGATTCCTGATGAAATTGGTGCAGTATATGGTTCTTTGCCAAACTCCCTTTTGGTCCCAGGGTTTTTTCTTCATTTGTTTTCCCACTACATATAGCCTCTCAGTATAGGCGGAACGCTCAGGTTTTTCCCATATCGTTGCAGTTTGAAAATGCAGTAACATCACCTTCAACGCCAGACACGCACTAGTTCAAATTATTAGATTAGATTTGCGGGCTGAAATCTGGGTTGATTGGATAAAATACGTGGTCGCTTTGGCAATCTGTGTATTTTAATAAAACCAATGTCCAAAATGTAAATTCTCAATCGGAGCTTTAGTGGTACTGCCTCATATATTCGACTGGATTAAAATAATAGCTTCATAGATACCCTTTAGGTCACTTTATTCCATAGGTTTAACATTGCATTGCAGATGTGTTAGCAGCTGAACTATAGTAAACCAACTTGTGAGTTCTCAAACCTTCATTTTTCAATAGCTTTTAGGTGCTTTTCTCTTCCTTTCAGCTTAATATTCAGTGAGGTACATTTCCCACAAACATGCATGTATTACTGGTTGTCCTAACTACTCAACATTTCAGAGAGAGAGAGAGACAGGAAGTGAGTATGAAAGAAAGGAAACGTGCCCTTTGTCTCTTTCCCAGTGCCTGTTACTCGCGCTCAGTGCTTCACTGCCTTTGAAATGTTATTATGTGCTCCGTTTCCCAGCATGCCACAGTACAACCTGGTATCGTCAGGTTTCCGTCTATTGTTGACACGCTTGGTGCGGGCCAGCTTCAGTTGGATACATCATTTTTTACGAACACACCAATTATGTGGAATAGATCATTTATGTGATTCATTCTGCGATGGGAGTTTATTAATCATTTATGTTTCTTACCTTTATGATTCTCTGTGGACATGTCAGCCACTGACAGCATTCATCATACAGTTATAGTTTATGGGTTAGGGTTATATGTATAATACATTACAGTACACTTGTTTTTTTTGCTAGGCCGTTTCTCCAATGCTTTGTTTGAAATGTATTGCAAACCTTTTTCTTTGATATCTAGGGCATCATCTAGTAAATTAATGTATTTAAAGGTTTGCCAACATAAACTAACAATAAGTCTGGATATGTTGCTCAAAATAATTTAATTTAAGTTAACACCAATAATTATAGAGCGCAGAAATGAATAGTTAAGTGATTTGGATCTGTGATTTCTGGCAATTTAACCCACAATTTTAGTCAAAAACGGCCCCTAATCATTTCATTTCAAAAAGAGAATAAATAATTTGACATTATTATTGGGTAATGTAGGAGAAATGTTGCGGCACAAAAAGTATATTTTGTCGTTTTTTATTTGATTTAAAGTGGACCTATCATGCTATATTTAAATGATATATTGTAGGGCCATACCTATATAAGGTATATTTATACGTTTCTGTTTTCAAAATACCAAACAGATCATGCATTTTAGCCATGCCTCATTTCGCTCTATGTGCTGTTTGCTGTCTATGGGTCTGATTCTGCTGACCACGCCCCCCTGCAGGAGAGGTGAGCCATGCTCTGATCAGCTGCTGGGCTGTCAGAAGAGGGGGAGAAAAAGAGATCTCCGTCCTCCGTGTTTTATTATATAGAGTCGTTATTAGCTCAATAAATAACAAAGAAGACCTTTGACCGGCACTTTTCTAATTTTGTCCGGAAGATTTAAACTTTAACGGATCCGTTGCAGCCCCTTTTTTAGAGATTTGGGTATGGAGGAAAATAGTGAGGGTTGTGTTTTCTGACTCTTGGTGAGTTCCCTGGAACACCGGGGACACATATTCATGTATAAAAGACGTACAAAAGTGCATTTTGCATGATAGGTCCCCTTTAAATAGAACCACCTGGTTAGTTTACAGCCTGTCCTCCTCCAAAAAACTACCAAATAGGTCGATTGTTCAGCAGCTTATTACGACCTATAGTCACGTTTTAAAGTTTAGCACCTCTAGTGGTCGTGTAAGAAACAACAATTTGCGGCATATGGGCTGATGCTCCCGTTGATTGCAAACGCTCCGGAGGGTCGTATATTCACAAATAACCCTCTCTGAAAAATCCTAAATTGTAGAATAGTTTGGCCATTAAAATGCTTTTTGATTAGATTTCTAGCGAGAAGTGTATATTGTACATTTAGAATCCAGGTCCAGTGGATGTGTAGGATCTATAGTTTGATAGATATTACGAAGATGATTTGAGGTCTCGCCAGGAGAATGTGTATATACTACGTCTTTCCCCTATTCATTTCTATTGACGGCAGCGTCCATGTAAAGTTGGCGTCAACCCTCACAGGGTGAAAACAGTATTTCCGGTCTCTAAGTTTTCATAATAAAACCGGAAGTATTCCCCTCACTGTCAAATGATTTCACAGTGATATCTGCATTACTCATCCACTAAAGAACATCAGTTTATCCTTGTTAATTACACAACATTGATTGGTTTAAATTGTGTACAATGCTTTTGTGTTTTTAACCTTCGATTCGGAGAAACAAATAGTTTTTTGGGAGTTTAGGATGGCCGAAGACACTACATACCCATAATCCTCAGCTATCGTTTGGGACTACAACTGTGTACACCCCTGGAGGTTTAGGGGATAGGAAACACTCAAATTTAAAACATATAATTAATAAATGGGTGAAAATTGCTTGTGTCCATAATGGGCAGCATTAATATATACCCACATGACAGCTAAGGTCAGAAGAGCTTTATTTAATAGCTGGTCTTATGTCTGTGACCCCTCCTGTTGTTAATTGATTGATTGAGTATTGATTATACTTTATGAAGATGTTACAAATAACACACAGCATACAATGCCATAATAACTTTGTATTATTAGTGTAGGACACTTATGTATGTATAACATCTGAAGATGTGTAGTTTTATTCATGTTTTCACATCATTTTACAGGATATTGCTATATTATTTCACATATTGTAGTTCTACACATTAATATCTGAGGTATATCCGTCATTTAACGGTAAGCTATTGAAATTGTGATTCCATAGATGTGTCTCCCATCACCCAAAACTCCTGACTATTCTCGCACCTCAGTATTTACATTCTTTAATTCAAAGAAAATCAGTAATATCTTTAAAAACTCCAAGTCCCTTTCTATCAGCTGTGCACCGTTATGGGGTAAATACAGCCTATTTACCAATTGGATCAAATATAAAAGTCAGCCGAATTAATGTTACTGCAAGGAGACGTATTGTGTGAAGAGAAATTGAAGATGTTGTTTAATTGCTGATATATTTATGATCCACGTCACATATTCAGTTTCGGCGGCATTTCTTCCAGTTTGTCAAAAGGTCTTCTAATCAGGGCTCTATAAAGAGAACTACGGCAGATGTGTAATATTCAATGCAGCCGAACCGTGTATTACAATGCCGTTATGTGATGACTTCCAAAGAGAAAAGCAAGCACACTCGGAATAAAGTATTATTTCCTTTTTTTCTTTAAATGTTTTCGGATTTCACATTGCATAAACACCATATCCCAACGTGCATTGCGGCTAAAACATCCAATCACAGAGCTTCAACGATAGCTGAGGATTATGGGTAGTTCAATGTTTTAGCCTATCAAAACCTCTGAAAAAAGAAATGTGTCTCTCAGAATCGAAAGGGAAAAACCTATGGGAAAAACACAAAAGCAGTGTACACAATTTAAACCAATTAATGTTGTGTAATTAACAAGTATAAACTGATGTTTTTTAGTGGATGAGTACGGCAGATATCACTGTAAAATCATTTGACAGTGAGGGGAATACGGTTTTATTATGAAAACTTCGAGACCGGAAATACTGTTTTCACCCGGTGAGGGTTGACGCTAACTTTACATAGGGGGAAAGACATACACGTTCTCCTGGCGAGACCTCAAATAATCTTCGTAATATCTATCAAACTATAGATCCTACACATCCACTGGACGTAGATTCTAAAAGTACAATATACACTTCTCGCTAGAAATCTAATCAAAAAGCATTTTAATGGCCAAACTATTCTACAATTTAGGATTTTCCAGAGAGGGTTATTTGTGAATATACGACCCTCCGGAGCGTTTGCAATTGCCGCAAATTGTTGTTTCTTACACGACCACTAGAGGTGCTAAACTTTAAAACGTGACTATAGGTCGTAATAAGCTGCTGAACAATCGACCTATTTGGTCGTATGAGTTGGAGGACTTGTTGTTAGTTTAGCATAAGCAGGGATATTTGAACTCAGTGGGTAAATAGACAAACAGCTCCGCCAACAGAAAATGTCCAACTTCAACAAAAAATGCAAGACTTTATAGAAAATGTTTAATGTGCTAATAATTACACTTTTTTATTGAGAAACAAACAGTTGCAAAATGAATGATTATTATCTAAATTCTGATCTTGTAGCAAGCAGTATTATATAAAATCTAATTTTAAAAGATAATTCATAAACAAACGCATCTCGTGTTCTCTGTTAGTTCAATGTCATGTCCACACCGCCCTCTGCAGGCAGTTTCTGTAACCGGACGTGGGACGGCTGGCTGTGCTGGGGGGACTCCACTCAAGGGACCGTCATGCAGATGTGTCCGGAGTACTTCCTGGATTTTGACCCTGCTGGTGAGGACACAAACAAAAATACATACAAGCACAGGCACAACTGGTTATGATTTTGTGTGTCTCATGTTTGTTTGTGTTGAAATGTAAATTGACTAGGGTTGGGGGGGGAAATGATTCATGCAAGAATAGAGATTCTTATCTACAAAGATGCCGATTTTTTTAAAAGTTTTTCTATTTACAAAAGAGGCTAGATGATCAACAGAAATCATACATACCAGGTCGAAAAGGTGTGTCAAGGACGCTATTATTGTGTGATCTGGGGAAAAATCCCACATATTATTAAAAAAATTGCCAAAGCCTACGAATGTATTAATCAGCATTTACATTTTTTGCAGATCTCTCCCAATGTTTGCCTTTGTGTGTTTACATTATTACAATATTTGATGTAATACAGTTCAGTACAGTTTATTGAAAACTTTTGACTGTTTGTATAATTGCAATGTGAATGGTCCCTATTATGCGCTTCCGTTTCTTATGTTTTTTTTAACAGAGAAGGTTACCAAGGTGTGTAATCCGGGAGGCCAGTGGTTCCACCACCCAGAGAGCAACAGAGTTTGGACCAACTACACCCAGTGTCAGGCCCACACCAAAGACAAACTCAAGGTAAAACACAAGAGAGTGAAACTCCACAATGTGCAGGTACAGTAGGTAGAAGAATAAAATAGGGAATCAAATCACTAAGGTAGTCCGAAATATTTCACTTAAACAATCAAACATTGGATCTGAAATGTAAAATTGAGAGATTAAGCAAACATATAAGAGCGATCATCCCATGTACTAAGGCTCAGATAATGGCCCTGCAAAAAATTATGATACAAGACTAATTTTAACATATTATAATCGAAGAGTATATTACAGTGGTGATATTGACATGATTTCTTTAATTTTATAATGAATCTTAACATTAAGTGCAAGATTATTTGGGGATTATCTCTACTTTTACAGTGTAGATTTGCACTGAACCCTATGGTGTGAAAGGTTAAAGGACACAGCAACAGGGCACCCTTTTGCTGGCATGATGTGGAAATGTAATGTGAACCGACTACAGGAAACATCCCCAGAAGAGTTAGTGACATACGCTGATATCGGATCGTCACAAGTCATTGGGGCTCGGACAGCTGAGCATAACAACATGAAGTGCAGTCTTCAATTTCTGACATGCGTGCTCTGAGCTGAACACTGGAGACTGGAAAGTAGTTTGACAGTCTCCAAACTGTCAAAATCTCAGTAGGAGCAAAGGTTAGCGTGTGACTTTAATTTGCATGCCCTGATACGATGGTGTCAGAAATCAGAATACTTTATTTGGCTAGGGGGAAATCGGATTTTGTGCTCCATTTTAGAATTAAAGAAAAAAATATATATATATATATACTGTATATTCAACATGACAAGTTCAAGATAGGATATGCAATAAAAAGATAAAATAAATAGAATAAAGATGTTAATACAAACATTAATAAAGTTAAATGACCATTAAAAGATATATTAAAATAAATAAGTAAAATTAAATACAATAAATACCATCTTTAAACAAGTGTAATTAAAATACTGCTGCTACGATTTAAATTTGTAACGATGTTATACTCTTTTTGTTCTATGTGGGCTTGCACATTGCTTCTTACACGAGGGGGTCTCAGGGCTGTCAAACATCTGTCCGGTTCTGAGCATCTGTCCGGTTAAAAAAATTGTAATTTCAAAACAAAAATTGCTATTCCTTATCGCCCATAGGGAGCTGTGCTGTACTGAGAAGAGTAGCAAGTGCTCTTACCCCATTACCATACTGTTCATGCAGGAGCCGGCAGTGGAACTGTCTTTGTCGTATATAAAGTGTAGGTTTTCAGAGAAAATGGCATTGCTCCTAGTTCATGTCTATCAAATATGTGTATACTTGCGACATGCACTGATGGGTTATAATGCAGAAAGACCGGCGAGACAGTCCTTCTTCACATTTTTTCAAAAATATAAATAAAGGTAGGCATTCTACAAAGGTCGACTCAATTGTATGTGCTTCAGATCTTATAAATGGCACACTTTTCTATGCTGTAGCATCAAAAACAAAGTCAAATGTTACATAAATGTTGACATAAGGTATGAGCAACATTACTAATGTGAGTGGAGACGCTGGAGAAACTACAAATGAATCTTACCTAATTGAAATATTAGCCTCAAATATATTTTGAAATCCTTGAAAAGGATCACATTTGGAAGTGCAACATGACTATAAGCATCACAGGAAAACTCCTCAAACTCTGTTGCAGAAAGGGAGCATCTTGCCCATCTTAATTTATTCCCCCGCCTTTACAGCCATGGAATTTAAACTCATCATTTAACATGGGAAGTTCTATCTCCGTGGACTTGTGATTTAAATGTAAATGTAAGAATCTTGCTCCTCCGATTTACAATGTAGGATTAATCATTGTAAATCACCTCATGTCTACACACTGAGTTTAACATGCATGTCATTGAGGATTTATTCCCAGCCCTGCACTTCCATATTTATGCATGAACGGTCTTCACAAAGTCATTTATATGCCTTGGCATTTGGAAAACAACACTATGATTCTTTTTTTCAGTGCGTCTAAATTCATGGCCTTTGGGAATCCTTCTGAATTTCTCCAAAAGGCTCATCTTTTCTTTACAGAATATTTTCCTTCATGTTTCAAAGGGCCTTTTGATGATATACAGTATAGATGTAAAGGATGCAAACACGGAATCTCTCCTGAACTTTAAACATTCCTAATAATTGGTGAATTTTGTATCTTCATGAATTTGTTTGTCCCTGCAGTTTGCCATCAGTCTGTACTACCTGGCCATGGTGGGTCACGGCCTGTCCATCGTCTCTCTGATCATCTGCCTCATCATCTTCTCCTACTTCAAGTGAGTCATAACCTTTATTACAGTGGCAGTTTGTGTACGAGGGCTGAGAAATGTTTGAAATGTGCCTGGAGTTCAGTCAAAATAAGAAACACAAAACCTGTTATGGGCCTGAATTGGCTGGCATAAGAAAAAAAAGCATCAAGATGTTGTAATGAAGTTAACATGGAGGCTACTACAGTCAGCGGATTCATTTATCAGTGGATGTGCAGTGGAAGCCAGCAGGATTTGTGAGCATATGTTAATGAGGATAAGGAGGAAGAGAGACGACTTTTAATTATGGTTTTAAGCAGCGCAGTGGCTGCTACTTCTTCACAGAGGTGTGTGTGGTTGCAGAGTCAGGAGGAGAGGGACTGCGACATGAACGGAAACAGATTTCATCCAAAGTTTCAATATCAAGGGCTGCTTTTAGCTTTCAGTACCTTTTTACAAGACGCTCGCTAGCACCGTATTGTAACAAATGACGATCCAGAGACTCTTCTTAGGTCGGATTGCAAAAATTACGACTTCTGTCTCATTTAGGACTACAAATAAAAGTTGCCCATATCAGAATTTAAAAGATTGAATGTGACTTATCCTGTGCAATTGTATGAAAGTAAATAGTTTTGGGCCACTGTGAATGTATAGCCTTACATAATGCACATCTTCCAAAGGCGTTTCCATCCTGTGACATTCTAATGAATCTAAAACAATTTTGGGTTACATTTTGTGGATTTTTAGGGCAGGTATGGTTTGAGCTATTGCAATTTCGGTAAAATGTTTAGCAGCCTTTAAAAAATAATCCTCCACTAACTGTTTACTTACTGTTTTTCTCTTCCAGGAGTCTGAGCTGCCAGAGAATCTCCCTCCACAAGAGCATGTTCCTCTCCTTCATCCTGAACTCCATCGTTACCATCATGTGGCTCTCGCTCACTGTGGCCAATAACCAGGCCATAACCGCCAGCAACCCTGTGAGCTACTGAATCTATATTTCATCCCATTAAACAAATGAATTTCACTTCACAGGCCTAATTGTCCTATATTAAAGGAAATGACCCACACTTAACTCACAGCTATCAAACTGTGGGGACCTATCATGCAAAATGCACTTTTGTACGTCTTTTATACATGAATATGTGTCCCCGGTGTTCCAGGGAACTCACCAAGTGTCAGAAAACACAACCCTCTCTATTTTCCTCCATACCCAAATCTCTAAAAAAGGGGCTGCAACAGATCTGATAAAAACTGATCCAGATTTGAACACTGTCCTGACGTCAGGACGGTGGCGCTACGGCTATTGGGCCAACTCTCCACCTATTAGGGGAATGCGAGGTTGGGCCACGGCCGGCCATTGCCGCTCGAAAGCGCTGGAGAAGTTGTAGTACATATGCCAGGCCTGTAAGTGGCGCTGTAGTCTGCCACAAAAGCAGCGAAGAAGACTTCCCGTGCATGGTTACCATGGTTACCCTTCTGTTTATTCTCCGCTGTGGCTTTTTTTCTCCCTCCCCGAGGCAAGCGTTTGCTCCTGCTGCTTTAATTCAATGCAATCCCTCCCCGTCGAGGCAAGCACTGTAATTCTCTCCGGTTAGTCCACCAGCAGATGACAAACACCCACCTCTCTGCCTCTTCCAAGGAACGAGGGGACCGTGCAGCAGAGTTTCAGTTAGGTTTTCTTTCGCCGGTCAAGATGTCCGTTAAAGTTTAAATCTTCCGGACAAAATTAGAAAAGTGCCGGTCAAAGGTCTTCTTTGTTATTTATTGAGCTTTAAAACAAATGAATAACGACTCTATATAATAATAGGCTATAATAAAACACGGAGGACGGAGATCTATTTTTCTCCCCCTCTTCTGACTTGATCAGAGCACGCTCCCCTCTCCTGCAGGGGGGCGTGGTCAGCTGCAGCTCACAGAATCAGCCCCCTGCAAAAACAGTGCTGGAGAACAGCAAATAGAGCGAAATGAGGCATGGCTTAAAATCATGATCTGTTTGGTATTTTGAAAACAGAAACGTATAAATATACCTTATATAGGTATGGCCCTACAATATATCATTTAAATATAGCATGATAGGTCCACTTTAATTATGCTTTTTATTCCTTCTGACATATTTTAAGACTTCCGGTTTCCTGTCCACAGGTGAGCTGTAAGGTCCTGGCTGTCCTGACTCAGTATACATCCACCTCCAACTATTTCTGGATGTTGTGTGAGGGCATCTACCTGCACACACTCATCATAGTGGCCGTCTTCGTAGGGGAACAGCAGCTCTTCTGGTACTACGTCCTGGGATGGGGTGAGTCTGGAGGATGTGATATTTAATTACCCTTTCCCAACAATTTCAGCGCAAGCATGTCTGTGGCAAACAACTGTGATTTTTCGAGAGGTCGGTATCTTCGACTAGAGGGGTGGATGCGATGAATCAAAAACAGCAAGCCATGATTTCCAACCTTATCTGGTATATTTCAGTCTTCTCATAACCATAGACCTTAAATCAATACTAATAAACAAACCAGAAGGCTATTGTAACTCAGGACGCTTGCTGACTGCTATATAAAGTTACTAAAAACACTCCTTCTCTTTGTGCATCTCAACATTTGCATTTACTGTATATACAGTGTATTTATATTAGGGGATATGATCCTTGGAGACCTTCTCTAACTTAAACTGAAAATAAAACAATAACAAATAATTGAAAATAAATTGTTGTAAATGAATACTTTCCTAGAAGTGCTGAAACTAAGCAGATATTTTTGCCTGGTTTAAAAAACAAATGGGTATAACATCTGTTTATCTGTTTTTGTGCTAATATATCCCTACCAAAAAAAGCAGACATCATCACTCTCTGTCAACGACAGAAATGAAACCGACTTGACGTTCCAGGAGATGGCGCAATGCTTCAATGGTTTCAGAATAAATCCCTATCTTTCTATGCAGTCTAGTAAAACAGTATTAAATAACAAAGTTGTAGTTAGATAAAATGCCATTTAACCAGAATTAGTTGAGGTCCATTGTTAACAAACTAGGTTCATTGTGTGGTAGTGAGAAGGACTCAAGAGGACTGGAAGATATCTCTCAAAACAAAAATGTTAAAACAGTCAGGATATTCCTACACAGTTCTCCAACCATAACTTTAACTTCCAACTCCAAAACTGTAATAACCTGGGTCTACAAAGATATAGCATGTATATTTATCTTTTACTTTAATTCTAAAATATAGCCTAACTAACCATCCCAAAAACCACAGTCTGCTTTGATAGATCAAGTATTCTGATTATGTTTAAGTATAAAAGTGCATGAGCATTTGCTACCAGGAAATCACAAGACAAATTCAAAGGGACTGCATCAATACATTAAATAACAGTTGCATTGTGGGGCTGCTTTATAATATTACGCTTGCTATAGCTCATAATACCTTTTGAGCTATACTCCAAGTGAGGGGTTGCTGTGTTGTCCTCAGTAGACACTGTTCTCAAGGTTAACAGTCCTGTAATTCAAGGGCCAAAACAGTAATTTACTCTTAAGTACACCTGAAAATATGAGAGCCTCTCTGATTTGAGACTATACCCTGTTCTTGAATTATTTTCCTACACTGAGAACATCCCATTCCCACCATCCTTTAATACATTAAAGTCACCTTGAAGCCTGGATGAACCTGTGCTTTTCATTTTGCTCTCTCATCGAGCTCTTATGTATTATGGATTATTTTATGTCTCTCTGAGGCTCACAGCTTTTTATATCTGTGCGCTAAAGCGTGCCAGTAATGAGCATATTACATGTCCTACATACGTGCAGTGGAGGATTCAGATCCTTTACTTAAGTAAAAGTAATGAAAGCACCCAAAAATAAAAGCCCTGGATTGAACTTGTTACCTACAGTGGCGACTGGTCATTAAGGGCAGGTGAGGCACAGCACTAAGAGAGAACAATCCAATATTTAAATGATTAAATTCAATTGTTTGGGTATCCTTTTGTTGAACTGTCTGTTTAAAATTAATCGAAGCATCAGACTAAAAAAGCTTTTGAAAATAATATTATATTTTGATTTAGGTCAAAATATAATATTTGTAAACCTGAAGAGTCAGTGCCAGTGCCTCACCAGCCATGAACCTCACTGCACGTCACTGCAGAAGCTTATATATAAACATCTAAGTTTGTTGTGCCCCACCACTTTTGTACATATAGAAACGCCACTGGTTACCTAAGTAAAATATGTAAGTATACTGTAATCAGGAATAGTAGCCTACTTAGTGCAGAAAAAAGGATAATTGTGACTTCTACAATATATTATATTAATATTTTTATTATAACTCCCGCATTTACCAGGACAGCAGGACATTACTTTTTTAGTAAGTGGAGCTAATTTGTAATAACTATTTTACAGTAAGTAATGATTGTTTTTATTGTTAATGATTTGTTTGAGTAACACCATCATAATTTCCCAACATGACATCTTTACAATTTGTATTTTGTCTCTAAATTAAAAGAAATTACAATTTTTTTATTACAAAAAACTGCAAATCTTCACTTTATCATGCTTTTTAATACGTTTTTCATATGTTCCGTATGCAAAGATTTTGATTCTTAAAGCACTGGTAACTTAGTAAAGTCAAGTAAAACAGTAAAGTGAAAAACATTTTCCTCTGGAACATAGTTGAGTAGAAGTATAAAGTTAAGAACAAAAGACTTGAGTATAATACAAATACCTAAAATGTGTACTGAAGTACAGTAATTGAGTTACGTCTGTGTTACTAACATAAAGCTACAGCCAGTAGCCACTTAGCCTAGCTTAACAATAAAACACATTATATCGAGTAAAATAAAATAAAATAAAATTCAGATTCAACGATACATAACCCTAACTATAACAACTTTAACTATACTGCTGAAGACTAAAGAAATGACGTATAACATGTTAGTGTTTGAGTTTGGATTTAAACGAAGCTAAGCTAACCTACAGCTTCATCTTTGGCGGATATTTGTTATCAGCAAGATAGTGAATACGAATATTTCCCAAAATGTCAAACTATTTAAGTTTAGATAAAAACTGTATACGTTTATACTGTTTTTATTTATATAAAGCCCTCTTGTAACTTTGTAGGAGCATATTATGGTGCTGTATTACTTTTTACATCTCTCTAGTATACTTACTCTCTCTGTTCTTAGGTTTCCCGATCATTCCTGCCGTCACATACGCTGTGGCTCGCGGTCTCTTCTTCAACGACAAGTGAGATGTAGCATGTTTATTTTTCTTCTATTGTCTCAAATGTGTCAGATCAAGGCCAGAAATGTTGCAGTGTGTTCTCACAGTGGCATAACTCCAGACTGGGATTTCTCCCTCTCCCCTTCCTGTGACCTTCTTAGTTTGATCAGGATGATAGGATTTGTAAGATATTGATTTGCCTCATCAAGAGGAATTTGTGTAAACCCTTTGTTTGCTAAGTGTAGCAGTGATGACTAATGATTCAGGCTTATTTGAGTGACTGTGCATGAGTAATTGTAATTTGTATTTGTTCCAGGTGTTGGATCAGCTCACACACACACCTGCTCTATATCATCCATGGGCCCATTCAGGCTGCACTACTAGTGAGTAATTAACACACACGGTAGCCTCTCTGTGCCTACAGTATATTGTGTTATAAACACAATTATTATGCATTATGTCTACCCTTAGCACCTTCGAATTATAGTTATACAACACTTTTAAACATTTAATGCTTTTTAACAATAATCACAACACATTATAAAGCATTTTAGAGTTGCTTATAAGGTCAAATATCATAAAACGTAATAATAGATGTATACTCATTGACTTTTTTTATATGCAAGGATCATAGTTGAATATAATTCCCATAGATACAATAAATGATATTCTTTGTATATTGCATTTTAATGAGATTATAAGTTACTGTTATTGGATGCTTTAATTGAAGTCATTACATTCCTAAGGTATAAGCGGATATATTATACATTACAAGCCGGTTATAAAATAATACAAAATATATAAAATATAGATATAGGTATAGGCCGATATGTTATATCTAACAAGCTGTTTTTCAAAAATAAGTACATTAAAAAAAAACATGAAAATATCAGTGACTGACCAGAAACTATAAATTGTTAATGATATAATATGTTGTGATTATTGCTATAAAGCTCTATGAATATGTATCGGTGCTTATTAAAATATATTTATATATTGCTGCTATAAGCAGATTATGTTTATTATATATTAAGTATGTTTATATTGTATTAGACATGGGTGTCAATTTTATTATTATATTTTATATATAGACATACAGTACAAGTTACCATACATGTAAAATAAAATAATACATTAAAATCTATTCAGAGCAATGTTATATAATGTAAGGCTTACATCATTGCTATTTTCAGATTTAGTTTTGCTCTCTACACCCATTGCAGAATGATGATATATATACATATGAATGAGTACTTTTCCTTCAAAACGTTTGATGTAAATGCACCATGGTACAGATGCAAATGCACAGTCAATTCAGATGCAGTTACAATGCACTGCTTTTATTGCCATTTTTTATATTATTATGCCACTATGCAGACTGTATTTGGTATTTGATATGACTAAGTTACTTTGTAAAGGTAAAAGACTGGGGCAAAATATGTCATGAATGTGGAAGGTTGTCTTTTTGCCTTTAAGTGGTTTAACTATTGCCAGGTAATTGACATGTTCTTTTAAAGAAAAGGAACTTCATGTTATTTAAAGTTGATGTTTTAGTGCCACCATCAGGCAAATCAATGCCATTTGTTTTCCCCTTCAAAAGTCAAATCACACTAGATTTAAATATTTGTCTCTCTCTTCTCTTCCATTTTCATTTCATCATCCATGTAGGTGAACTTTTTCTTTCTCCTGAACATCGTACGTGTTTTAATCACCAAGTTGAAGGAGACCCACTGCGCTGAGTCCACAGCCTACATGAAGGCGGTGAGAGCCACGCTCATCCTCATCCCTCTGCTGGGAGTCCAGTACATCCTGTTACCATGGAGACCCGAGGGACGCATCAGCCGGGCCATCTATGACTTCTTTGTCAATATCTTCTGCCACTTCCAGGTACAGGCAACAATACACTGCAATTTAAAGTTCGCACAAGCTGCTGAACAGAGACTCATGTGATGTATCGAAAAAACTTCTATGGTGACGTTAAACATAATTCACTTGACATTAATAATCTCCATGTTTCTTTTAAGATTTTACATTTTCTGTACCAAACATATATGGTTTTTAGGACCAAAATGGGAACTATAATAATGATGGCAAATGAAAAAAATGGTCTCCTTCCAATGCCAACTAAAGTGGAGTACATAAGCAATGGAACAAAATATGTTCCGAACTATTTATACACAAATAGTTGTATTAAATCTGGCATTCAACTCTTTCCATTTTCATTAAGCAACATCAAACAAAAAAGCACTTTAAACAGATTCCACCACAGAATTTTGCTACATTGGTATCCCCTCTCTCGTCAATTTTCAGCTGTTATATCTATTGCCAGAGGAAAAATAGCCTCTTGGCACATTTACAGAAATGTTGATTAATGTGCACTGTCCCTAAGAAGAAAAAAAGGCAAAAAACTGTCATCATTTTGGCTTCTTTCTGAGGGAAATATGATCTTCAGCTGCTGTGTATTATCATTAATAAAACAGCTTTCTAGAAACGTTATCTTATTTGCTTCTTCTTTGTCAAATGAAACCTGATGATTCATATACATTTATTATTTACAGGATAATCTCACTGACATCTGTTCCTGTATGAATATTTAACCACTGTCCCATTGCTTTGCAGGGACTCCTGGTGGCAATTATATTCTGTTTCTGCAATACTGAGGTACATTCAAACGGATCATACAATAAATACAAGATCATGTTAATATTTATATTCAAGATACTGCATGTAACCTCTAATTACTAAAACGTAAACTAAACTAAAACCAAACTCTTGACGTCCAGGCCCAGACAGCGCTGCGGAGGAAGTGGCATCAGTGGAAGTCTGCCTGGGGTAAAACCGGCTGGGGAGACACGACCATGAGCCACAACCACTTCAACCACCACAACAACTCCTCCTTCACCGAAACCAGCCGCGCCACCATCAACTTGGAGGACGCTGCGAATTCGAAACGAGACGAAAACAGCCACTTCCTGTCCCTGGAGCAGGAGAAAGCCAACGGGCAGCAGAAGACAAGCAGCAACGGAGAGGCGGACATGCTCAACAAGTTGGAGACCACCGACATCTGACCGGAGAAAGGTTGTGGTGGTGCCAAACACAAACACACAGTCAAAAAAGATAAAGGACTTAGAAAAAACAGAGAGGTCGTGGGTGTATTTTCAAAATAAAGGTTAACTGATTGGGAAATTATCAGTAAAGCACTTAAAAAAAGCGTGTGATGTTCACAAACACATATTTTGTATAACTCCAGTTTATGGACACTAATGAGCTGATCAGAAACAAATATATTTATATCACGGTTTCACCCTGTAATCTTAGCATAGTATACGTTTTTGCATAGGCTACATGTTTTGTTCTGTGGCTGGGATAAAGTCCACTTATGTATTTGATTTATTGTTGAACGTATTTCCTCTTAAATTTCAAATCCAAAAACTGCCATTTTGAAATGACAAATGCATTAATGTTTGTGTTGCATTGCAGTATGGAGCTATTGAATGCTTTACCTGTGAACCACCGAGACCAATGAATGTCATGGCCAACCAATATGATATGTTCCTTTACATGCTTTACCTAGAAAATATAATCTAATCATTACTGGACTGCGTCAAAAAGGCCAGCATTCCCAATTAACCTGTCCTTTAGAAAAAATATACCACACACACTAGAGTTTTTGTGTTGATTAAATATGATTTGTAACCGATAATAATATAAGTTTATCCACAAATACATGACTTCTCTTGGTAGAGCTTGCTGACTTAGAAAGGGTAAACACAGTAGGCTAAATACCAGATTCAGACTTGTTGACATCTGTTTAACCATATAAACATATTGTATAATATCTGCTTTAACACAGTAATGGCTCCCTCTTTGTCACAGAAAAACATTGAACATGATAAATAAAATAAGAGAGTTACAAGTTCTAAAGCTGGTTGATGAAATAGCCACCGCTAGCATTAGCTAAAGCTAAAATTGCATTTACCATATTTTACTGATATTTCCAAGCTGTTATCTGAAGCTAAAACATGTCAATTTTGTCAAACCCAGTTATTCCATATAACTAAATGATACAGTAGTAAATTCCATTAATGATGGAGAAAACATTTATGCTAATATTAACTCTAACTGAGTTAAGCAAAAATAGCGATAGCTATCATCTCACCGTAGAACTCTGATGGAATTCATGTTATTTGTTGAAGTTAAGTTTTTTTTAAATAAGGTTTTTATTTTGAAATGTATTAAATTGTAAAGATATTAATTATTTTGGTTTTAATATCAACATTAATTGGAGGAACTCAAACTGACAGACCAGCCCTTTCTCCTACAAAATGATGTTCCCATAGACCCAAAATGCAATATTATTATGAGGTAAACATTGTTTCTCCTGCATTACGGTTGCAGTTTTAAACACGTAGTTAAAGTTAACCAAAAAAATATGCAAAAAAACAACTTGGTTAGTTTTAGTAAAACATCATGGTTTAGCCTAAAATAAGTAATAAAGTATTATTCATGTGCCAAATTAAAACTGTTCTTTTATGGCTGATAAACAGACTCCATCTGAACACTGAACATAGCTACTAAGATGAAAGGGCTTCTGACTTTCATGGTTTTTATACAAATCTCTATTAAATCTCTCCACAGTATAACATATTGGCTACATGACAGCTCAACTTGTATAAAGCCTTTCTCTTTATACATCCGTAGTGTGTAGCTCATTTTGCGCCTCCTTTTATCCCAACTGATTTACTTCCTGGAACTAAAGGATGTGCTGAACATTTTTGATTAAAACTCTCCTAATTCAAACTAGGAGAAAGCTTTAAGTGCAAGATAATTACCAGTGTAGAGATAATAGAGCTCTTAAGTGCTGCAATAATTGCTCCAATTTTACTCCTTCACTTAGTTCACTAACAACATAAGGTTTTGGGGGATTTTGGCCAAAAAGTAGAGCACATACAAAAGATTTAGAAACACTATGATGTGTGAAATATTGTTTGCGAGCAGTGTGTTCACATTTGCTTTTTCAGGCAGTCCCTCCAACTTTAGTTTCTTATTTAATTTCCAACAATCTTCACTTCTATTAAATGTTTTTTTCATGATGGTAAATCGTAATGTGAGATAGAGCTTTAATATTCTGCCTTTTTATGTTAAAAACAAAGATGAGACAGAGCTACACATCTAAAATACCTTTTAAAAATGTTTCAAATCTACATTTTGCAGACAGAATACTGTGCCAAATTAGTAATACAATTAATTGTTCAGAACATTTGGTTTTCTTAATGCTTTGTCATGTTTGATATTACTATTTTGGCTGTTAAATGAGTCTGTTTCACTATTTCTAATTATTGTTACAATATTATTTTTTGCAAATACAATTCACTGCCACTTAAAAAATAGATATAATTTCATAGTTTTTTCATCACACATGTACCGTGCTGTATGTACACTAGCAGGCTACAGTACCAGAGCCTTTTCAGTTTCCACTGGAATACTGGGCAAGTCTTATTTTTGGCTGTATGCTTGTAGCAAATGCATCCACATGTCACAAAAGACTTTCGGGAAACAATTGTTCCAGTGTGGTCACAAAGAGCTACACTCATGCATGGGAAAACAATTGTGGTAAGAAAACAGCTGAGTATGAGAGAAGACTCTTTAAAAAAAAAAAAGAAGGCATACACTGTACACTTTATGTGGCCCCGAAGGCAAACATCTGTTATGGACATATTTGTAAAGAATTTGAAAAAAACATTCCAATAAAACAAAAGTAATGTTCAATTCAAGCATATTACTGTATATATATTTTTAACTCTGCCATTTATGTGTGGAAATAAAATTGTTTGAACATAAACCTGTGTTTTTCAGAATGATTGTTTAATATTTGCCACAAAATGATGTTCCAAGGTTGATAATTGTCTCAGTTACAGTACTTTAGGCTATTGCACTTATCACTGTTGCTTCATTGTTTCACACAGAGAAGATAAATAAGTGTATAAATAAGTGGAATAAGTAGAAAGGTCACTTGAGGTCAGTATAATCTTTTACAAGGTTTTATGAGAAACATTGCTGGGCGAAGTAGGCTGTGTATCATCATCGGATTATCGGCAGTGCAAGCTCTTTAGGTGGGGTACAAATGTAGCTTATATGTATTAGCTTTTGGTCCAAACCTTCTCATAAGTAATTGTGCAGTACATTATTGATATGTCGTTTCACATAAACCGGAAAAAAAGAAAAAAGGATAGTCCCACCGAGATTTGAACTCGGATCGCTGGATTCAAAGTCCAGAGTGCTAACCATTACACCATGGGACCAGATGGTATCGTCAGGATGGCCTGTCACAATATAATGTTATAACTATTTTAAATCCTCACATGGCACGTACTTGTATTATATATGTTGTACACCTGCTTATACTCCGGGGTAAAACGCCGCAACTATAAGTACAATAGGGATATTAGCTAACGTGGGCCAGTGCACCGTCTGGAACCCTCGTTACATAACCAGAGTCTAGCTTAGCATGCTGGCTAGCATGCTTAAGGTTAGCGCCGCATATGTGGCTGCGTAAATACAATAGGCTTGTTTGAGACGAGCTGCGGCTCGCCTCGAAAGTAGACGAGAATAGCCGATTGCAGCCGGGGGAGGTCTCAAAAAGCTCGCCTGAAGTCGGACAGCTCGGAATCAACTTCTTCTTCTTCTCTCGGTTTTTGGCGGATTGCAAACAACTTTAAGGTGCATACCGCCACCTACTGTACAAGAGTGTGTATCACCATATCATCCTATCACCACTGGTGGAATTATACCATGTATTTACGTTGTTTTAAATTCTTCCAATCAATCCCGTTTCATTCAAATATTTAAGAATGGCCTTCCTGGTAGCTCTTACCCCCTCACCTTCTGTCCCCAGTGTCCTCATCAGGCTCCACTCCCTTCCTGCCTCTCTGACCCTGTCTCTTAGTTTTTCCCTCTCTGTTTTGTACATGTTGCAGTGTAATACGATGTGTTCCACATTTTCTTTCACTCCACACCCCCTGCATTCTTCAACTTCGCTTTTTACCATTATACACCTTGTGCCGTTTAATCCTGTATGATCCAATCTGAGTTATAGTGATGATGATCTCCTCCCATCTGTTCCTTTCTGTATAGATCTTTATTATGACTGATTTCTGTAACTTGTGGTATCTCCTCCCTTTCTGATCTTCCTCCCACCTTTTCTGCCATATTTCCATACCCTTCTTAATTATTGCTTTTCCTTCTCCTTTTCCAGTGAAACTGTATTGCTATTTCCTTCTGTAACGCATCTTTTGCTAATTTATCAGCATGCTCATTCCCTTGAACCCCCTCATGTGCAGGCACCCAGCATAACTGCACATCTATTCCCCTTCTCTGAAGTCTCAGTAAGCAATGGTTAAGTTCAATAATGAAATCTTCTCTAACAGTTATTGTCGACTGTATGCTTTCCAAAGCAGATAGTGAGTCTGTGCATATCACCACCCTATCAGGTCTCTTCAACCTATTGTAGCCCAATAATTGCTGCGAGTATTTCTGCTGTATAAACTGATAAGTTATGTGACACTCGTTTTGAGATTGATATTTTGAATTCTGGTATATACACGCCTATCCCCACGCATTCTTGCTTCTTAGATCCATCTGTATACATTTTGAGGTAATTGTAATATTGTAATATGTTCGTTCAGGTACATACTCGTTTTAATTCCCACTTCATTTATTTGCCACTCTTTTTTCCTTTCTATGATACTCACATCTATATTAGCTTCTGGGGAAAGCCATGGGGGAACACTGCTAAATGGGCTTGCTTTGGCAAACTTTATGGTCTCCACTCCATATGCCCTCGTTCTCTCCTTACTTGTCCAGCCAAACCCACGCCCCTGGAACTTTGTATATTCCCAGCAATCCTGTAGTATTCTGTTTGTGATATTTTCCTCTCCACTTCCTTGTAGCCTGACCCAGTAGGCCTATGACAGAGCAAGTTTCTCTCTTCATGCACAAATGTGTTTAATCGTTAATGTCAGATATGTACTAAGTAAATACATTTGTTCCTGCTCAAGATTAGATTCAACTTTATTGTTATTGCACAGATTACAGGTACTGAGACAACGAAATGCAGTTTAGCTTCTAACCAGGAGTGCAAAAAGCAGTAAAGTGAAAAGTAATGTACACAATCTACAGAATAAAATATAGAATGAATTGAATGATGAATACACAGTGAGGGATATGAATATGCTAAGATATATAAAGTATGAAAACGGTAAGCAGTGCAAGTATAGTATAAAAGATATAGATATTAATGTCATGATGATAAACATTGTGGAACAATGATGAAAAATGTGAATGGAAGTGGCGACGTAAAACTGACACAAAACAACAACAAACTTTTGCCGAGCCAATGGAGAGTTTCATCACCAGCACGGGGTAAAAACCACCAATGAGCGCTCAGCTCGAGATACCAGCGAGTCGTTTCCATGGATGTATAATAAGAACTGGATACAGCGTGGGAGGCGGGGCCTCATTCATTCCTATGAGAGTTGCTCATAGAGTGGCGAAGTCACGCCCACTTACTTCCGGGTAATGGGACCTTATTTCGGAAAAATTATGCATTGAAGTCAATGGGGAGAGAAAACTTATCTTTCGATCCCGTTTGAATTGTGCCATGAATTACACATATGATGTTTGTCAATCTTAAAAAATAATTTCCATGTCAAAAAAGTCACAGTTTGTCGTAAAACTGTTGAAATATAAGACTATGAAAAATATGTAACTAGAAAGACTACAAATCCCAGAGTCGCGTAAGTGATGTCACAATTGTTTTCCTCCACCATTCAGATACCTAAGATCAGCGCAATATAGATATAATCTATCTATATGGCGCTGGCTAAGATAAGATAACTTTAACAAGATGCCTGTGTGCTTAGTACCAGGTTGTTATTATACCAGCAATGGGTCTTGCTCGTTCTTTTGCTTCCCGTCTGATGAAACGACCAGGAGTGGCTTGATCAAGTTAGCTACCTAGCTAGTAGCTAGCACGTTAGTTAGCATTACAGCCTTGTCATCTTTATTAGCCTTAACATGAAGTAACATTAAGTAACCCAAAATGTTAAACAGTAAGAGTAGTAGTCATATTTCGTGAACCCTTTGAATAGTACTGTCACCGGTGTGATCATTCTATAATACACCATTTAAGCCCGGGGGAGAAATGCTAACGCTAACGTTAGCATCGGCGATCTTCTCTACTTCATGCTATCTGCACAAATGGTTGACAATAAACATTAAAACGACCAGGCAGTTCAGAGAGAATCAAAGGAAGGCAGGCAGGCAGCTTTGCATGACATTCTTCTGGACGTGTTTCATTGTGGTGATAGTGAGGATAGTCAATCGTTTTGTTGACAAGACAGTAGTGACGGCCATCTTGGTGACGTGTGTTGTTGACCAGAGATGTAGTTCATTGAGCGTTTCACACAAACAAATGTGTTACTTCACAGTTTTACGACACTTTTTTTTTTTTTTACTTGCAAAATTATCTTTTAAATTGACAAACATCATATGTGCAATTCGTGGCACAATTCAAACGGGATCGAAAGATAATCTTTCTCTCTCCATTGACTTCAATACATAATTTTTCCGAAATAAGGTCCCATGGAGGTCCACCAGAAGGGGAGGGACTTCGCCACTCTATTCGCGCATGATGATAAAATGGCCCAACTTTTGAGAGAGCGAAACGTCACAGATTACCCGGCATGCCTGAGAAGTACCCGTATGTGCACTCATAGCGCATGCGCAACTTTAACCATGCCCCCCAAAATGCTCGTTCACATCAAGCACGTCAATTTGCGTACACGTAACAGCACCGCACGTTCATGACAGCATGGTAATGGTTTGTTATTATGATAGATTTTAAATTAACGAGGCGGCAGTTAGCAGCTAGCGGTTAGCTAGTAATTATGCTAATTTACACATCAATCGTTATGTACTTTTATATTACGCTGTAACAGGATCTAGTGATATCCAAGCAACAGAGCTTCATTTAGCATGAAAGAATTATTGCACTTTATATGTATATATATACAGTGCAATAAGCTTCTTAGTGCAATAAGAAGCTACAGGGACGTTAATCTACGTCGGTAATATTAACTTTATTTAATACAACATTTACGGTACAAGATTTAATCATACAGCCCATGTAGTATACTATTTTACAAATGATGAATTACAGCAAACATGTGCAATATATCCATTATTACAGCTCCGTGGGCTGGCAGTAAGGCGATATGGGCCCGTTCTTATTATGCATCCATGGGTAAAGATAAACGCATGTAGTGCTGAACACATAACATGAACGTGCCGGGCGGCGCGGTCCCGTGGGTTAGATGCGCGTTCATAATGCAGAGGGAAATAACTCTCAGAATAACGTTATTAGCACATTTTTACAACTTGAGGAACGAATGTTTTTAATAAGGGCTATACAAGTGTTCATACTGGGTAGTTTATTTAGTTTAAAAAAAATTATCCAACGATTTACAGACCACTCTTTCCCCATGTAAGTCAATGGGAAAAAGTGTTTCCGGGCCTGGCAACCAAAAGGAAGTGTAGTACCGCCGTTTGGCCAGCACGAATATTTTCATCTGAGTCCGGCGCACTTCCTGGGGGCTTGGTCGTTTCCCATCAAGCATTTCGCTTCCGCAGCCCGTGGAGAGAAACTGCGCCGCCTCGCCGCGCCTCGCTCTCAAGTCTGCGGGCGTCTTTGTCCCGCGAGATTTCAACGTCTCATGTAGGCGAGCCTCCTGAGCAAGTCGGACAAAATGACTAACCATCATGCAACGCACTAGCAAGACGTTG